AATGGGATTTATAGCATTTTTCTATTTTTGTGTTTTTTTGTTGTGTGTGTTTATTGGTTTAAAAAAATTCAATGGTGGATTGTTTTTGGAGAAACGAATGTTTGAGAGAGATTTTATGTATGGCTAGGATAGAATAGGAAATGAAGGGCTTAGACTTGTTTCTTTTGTGTGTGTGGGTTATTTATGGAGATTGGCATGCAAAATTGTGATAGATGGTGGTAATGTGTTTGAGATTAGATGCTAAAATATATATAAATCACTCACATAGTCATTTACTTCGTACTATTTCTACAAAATTCTATTAGAAAATATTATAGTTTAAAAATGATTAAAATTTTGATATTTAATAATATAATATATATAATTTCTACAAAATTCTATTAGAAAATATTATAGTTTAAAAATGATTAAAATTTTGATATTTAATAATATAATATATATAATATTGATTGACTTGACTGAGAGCCGTCTCCCAAAAGAAATTGTGCGCACAACAGACAACTAGATAGATTCCTTGTCATCCGACAGTTTCACACTTTATCTTCCAATCAAACTATTTATTGTTAGTAACTCAGAAATTTACTATTGCTTAGTAACTTTGATATTCTTAATTAACGGTACTTATTCATAAGCATTCTTCTTCACAATTATCATAAGTTAATGGATGGGAATTAATTTTAAATCATATCAAAATTACAAAGATGGCAATCAAGGTACAATATTGAAATATGCAATTTTTCCAATTCCACATTTGGCAAGAAATGGAATCAAAAGTTCAACTAATATATTCAATTTTTCCAATTAAACATTAAGATGTATCCGAGACCCATTTCCAAAGATTTATAACAGCTTCCATGATAACGCAAGAAAATAGTAAAGAACCAAAATTACAAGATTTACAATCAAACGTACAATTGCAATATTCAGTTTTTTCAATTACACATAGAGAAGAGTTGCACACCTTAGACCCATTGCAAAAATGTACAGAAGGTTAAGGGATAACCAAGAAAAGTATTTTGGGGAGATTTGCACTTATACGTTATCAATATTAAAAGAATTGCATAAATACAAAAATGAAAACTTATTTGCAAGTATGTCTAGCTTAACATAATTATTTGGATAACTACAATATAACACAAACAAAAAATAAAGAGCAAGAATCCCGTAACTGGCGAAATTCTTTCAGTAATTAAAAAAAAAAAAAAATCTGAACTAAACAATCATGAGTAGCGTCGTCCATCAAGAGCAAGGTCGTCCACTGCAAGTAGCGTCAATCACGAGCAGCGTCGTCCATTTTCTGAGCAACGAGATGGTAGAGAACAAAACATATATAGAAAATATATAGAATATAAACAGTATATATACAAAATGATATACAATATATATACCTAGGATCATGCCGATCCTTATGATTTTCAATTCAAATCTTTCATACGAAAAATCCAAACTATACACTCTAATAGTGTGCATACGAAAAATATACAATATATATACGAAAAATATACAATATATATACCTGCAACTACATAAACAACGAAAAAAAAATATAAATATACTACATATATACATCATATATACTGTCTGGTCTGGTCCTCCGCTGATTTAAAAGCTAAACACCAAAATTCTCCGATGGCCTCCGACGATAACTCCGTCACCCTTGACCACTTCAATGAAGACCTCCTCGACGACAAGGAATTCTCCGGTCGCGATGAAGACGACTCCGCCTCCTCCGGCGCCCTCGCCGTCGATCGCCCTTCCCCATCCCCATCTACCTCCGACGCCTCAGGTCACGATCGCCCTTCGTCTCCTCACGCCGCCTTGGAGTTTCAGGTTGTGGAGAGCCGATGTGGGATTCGTCCGGGTTTGAAGACTACGGTGCCTTATGATTATTTGAATACGAGCAGTGGGAGTGGATGGGACCAGCTTTTGAGGAATGCGAACGAGGAGCTGAGGAAGCAAATGTCGACTAGCGAAGCAGGAGCTTGAGTCGAGCTGAGCGGATTATTGGTTAGTGTGTGGTGAAGTTATTGTGTGGTAGGATAGGATTAGATGCATTGTTCTTGTTATTGTTTTGTTAGAATGATTGGTTTGCTAGCTTCTGATATTTGGCATCAAATGCATTTTTACTTGATGTGATTGTACTACCAGAGATGATGGAAGGAATTCAATGGAGTTGATCATTTTATTGTACTGTTAAAAGATGTTATAAGAGAGCTCTATGTTCTTTGTATTAACTCGTAGCTCCCATATGAAAAATCGGTACATATCTTATAGCAATTATTGTAAAATGAAGGAAATGAGCCGAGTTGTGGAAAATTGAGGTTGAATAACTAAAGAACGATTTTTTATGCGTTGCTTTATAGAACCACAACATTTTTAACACAGGAAAAAATCATCCAGAAAGAGTGAACTGTGTTATACAATATCCCTGCTTAAGACAAAGCAAATGGTGATTTTTGAAGGGGGGAAAAAAAAAAAACACTGAGATGGCTTGTGAACAGCTCCATTTCAAAGTGCTTCAACCACACATTGTGCAAGCAAAAACTCATGCAAGCTTGGGAAGGGGAACAGGTTCAGTAGGTGGTAACGTGACCGAACGCAATAGCTCCAACGAGCACACGATCCCCAGAAAATGCGAAAGTATAGTGTTGGCAGATGCCTACACACAAACAAAAAACGAACGACATAATTATAAATATTTATTTAAAATTCATCACACAGTACAATCAATGATAATAATAGTAATAAACCTAGTGGTGTAAAATACCAAAAATGTGTGTTCATCATCATAATGAGAGTGGGTTTGTTCGGGAAGAAAGAATACCTGGACCAAGAACACATCCAAGGCAAGAACAGGAGTGTTCCCAGGAGGGATACCCTGATAATAAGGAGTGGCTGAAGTTGTGAGAGCTTTTGCCACCAGCAAGCCAACAGTAGCTTGCATACCGAGTATAGCAGCACCCATTCCCAATAGATTTACAAATATGCCATTCTTCAGGCTCTTCACGACATCCGCACGAGGAGGTGCCTGAAAAGCTTACAACTCTTTATCGATTGAATACAAAACAATGGGAAGTAAGAATGTGAAAGCAAAACTCAAGCCTATAAAGATCGGTGCTCGTAAAGGATAGGAGTTTTAACCAATTGTCCATATGCATGTAGAAATATCAGAATCCATGAAAAATTATAATTCATACTATTTCATGAATGACATAATCCGTTAAATATATGAATTTACTACTCCCTTCAATAGGTCATATGAATGTGTTCAACCAAATCTCCAAGGGCATGAAACATGTTTAAGCCAGAGAGATTAAAGAGAACGTCAACTTCGAACGCATTTTAACTCAGGTACAATGCATCAGACAACTTGATTTGGTTTTCTCTTATTTGGTCTTTTTTGGTTTTCTCTTATTTGGTCTTTTCCATACTTCTCTGGTAAATCCATAAACCTCATTTGAGCTTCAAACAAAAGAACCTTTTTCAAATAAAAGAACCCTAAACCATGGTAAACCATTTTCAAAGAAAGATGTAGCTATAGGCAGGGACATCAAGATTGAATTTTGAGCTAAAAAGAAAGATGTAGCTATAGGCAGGGACATCAAGATAACAAGAATCCAACCTTTTTAGCTCAAAATTCACAATTTTTTTTTTTTTTTTACCTTTGAAGGATCATTTGCTGTTTTACGGAGTTTATCTGACAACCGGATATAGCCGAAAGACCAAAAGACTGAAATGAATGCAGCTGCAATGCCACCAGCCGTAGCATAAAAGGTAGCGGGAGATGTGATCTTCCCAGTTATAAGGATAGAAAACGAGAGGATCACGGCAGCTACAATCGTGCAGATTAGCTGCCCCCAAAATCCAAAACTTCCCAATCTCTTGAAATACCTCGACGTTTTCTCTAATCTCTTTGAAACCTAAAAAACCACAATTCAAGACAGATATCCATAAGGGAAATTCCCAGGTTGTGGTTGAATTTTGTCCAAATTAATTTGAGACAGTTGGGTTTAGAAGGGAAAAATCTTTTAACCCTGCTCAAGTTTTGATAATTCCATGACAATAATTGCACAGAACAAATTACCAAAATCTTGAATTGATCACCTACCTACATTATTCAGAATTTCCCCTTATTCAACAGCATTTTTTTCAGAATGTTCCATAAAATTATCAAACTCAGAAAAACGAAACGTAGATAAATCTGTACATACCAATGTGCCTCCAACAAACAACCAAATCCTAAAACCCTAACTTTACATAAATATCACTCAGAAAAAGGAATATCAAAAAGCTTCGCAATCTCACTAACCATAAACATGATATTTTTCCAACGCACGGCAAAAAAACAGCGAGAATAAGAGAGAGCCAGACACACACCTGAGCGAGCTTGGCCTTGTCAGGCTCATCATTTGGAGAGCTATAACCAAAGGCAATGGGGTCCGAAGCTAGGGTTTTAACGCTGCGGTTATTTAAAATGTAGTACGGACGGGAAAAAACATCGACCAATTTCAGTGAGGAAGGAGATGAATGAGGATCGCCGGAGACGCCAAAGCGGAGAAGTGAGCGGAGGGGGTTTCGCGGTAGGGCTCCGAAAAACGTCTGGTTATACGGCGGAGCTGGCCGCGCGACGCCGGAGCAAGCTGCCGGCAGCAGAAGAGTTTGCATAGCTTTTTATTGAGGACCTAAAACCCTTTTTGGGTGGAGTGAGCAAGCATTGCCTTTGGCTAATTTTGGGGCACAATATCAATTGGAAATGTGAATTGTCGTTTTTGACCCTCCATCTCTTACTATATTTTGCGCTGAAGGGTGTGTTTGGTTGAACCAAGTGGAGGCCTATACATAGGGAGAATATTAATTGAGGGATGGGATTTTAAATAATTTTAACTATTTGGTTTGATTATATAATGATTAGGAGATGGATAAGGGGAGGAAAACATACAAACCTTGTTAGGTTAATATTTGAGGAAAAGAAAACTAATTTGCCATTTTATCTTTGACTAAATAAAAGCAAGCATATATTGAAGACACAAGAGAATACATGACAAAAAAAGAGAGAGAGAAGAATAAAATTTAGTTGTTGTAAGGTTAAGTAGTACCATATTGTTATCTTTTGATGTCGTTGAATTGTAGAAATATTGTTATCTTTTGATGTCGTTGAATTGTAGAAATTGTTGTCATGTTAGTCGCGAGCACAATGTCTAATATGCTAAATGGGTTACTCTTTCCATGAGATCCTTCTTGTGGAAGGATTATCTCATGTNAATTTCATTCTACATACTTGCGGTAATACTAATTACATGACATCAATACAATTCGAAATAATATTTTTACTATTCCAGTTTTAATTCATTGCTGGTCCAAAAAGCAAAGAAAAATATGCTGATTCATAGTAAATTCAAGTAGGCTAAGGCAAGTACTGCAACAGATATATCAGGATATCGGTCCAGAAAAACCCAGTCAAAAACACCACAAGGAAAATCCCAAGTCGATGGCCAGTAGCCATATTCATGTCCATCGCTACATACTCATCACTTGGGATCCCTACACTAAAAAATGACTCAACCGAGAATCCGTGTGTCGTGGAAGACCTGTTCGGGCTCCCAATGCTCTGCAGCCTATGCCAGCCTGAAAATTTGATGCTATTAGGAGCTTTTTCATAAATAAAAGTAAAATAAAAGTAACAGCTGCTCACAATCTTTACTAAGTCACGACTTATTTAGGCTGTATTTGGTAAATCTAGCTGATAAGCTAGCTTATAGCTATTAAGTGAATTTGGAACTTAGTTGATAGCTTATGACTTATGGCTGAAAAACTAGCTTATGTGATAAATATAAAAGTATTTGGTAAGATTAGTTGATAAACTAGCTGAAATAAAGATTTCAATGGGCTTATTTGAAAAGCTACCCAATTAAGCTTATGAGATAAGATTGAGCTTTTTAAAAACGTCTCGTCCTACCAAACCAAGCTTATTTGAATACAGGAAACTTATAAGCTAATCAAATAAGCTATAAGCTAGCTTTATGCTTACCAGACACAACCTACGAATCTCAGTTTTATCTATCCAAAATTACAAATTATCGTTACTTTATAAACTGCACTCTCAGCGGTAAAAACGTTTCAACAAGTTCAGGGACTACCGAAGCTCTGGATGGTGACTGGATTTTTTATTTTTTTGTTTCCTTTCGGTAATTAAGCTAAACCTCAGGGTAGTATTTGTAATTACCCGAAGTAAAGACTTACCACTTGAGAAGCTAAAGTCAACATCTTTTCTGGTGGCATGTTAGCACAAAGAGCTACAAAAAAGAAAAACCAACGACAATGTAGATAAAGCATGAACAGAGAGCAAATAAGCCGCCACAAGAAAGGAAACAAACAAATGGTTGGTTAAATAGAAATCCAACAAATTGGTGAGCTGAGCTATTATCATTTATCACAAGAGTTAAAACTGTTATAGGCCTATTACATTTTATCATAAACAGTGTAGAAAGCTAGTCTATCGTTGTTTCTTTTTTTTTTTTTTTTTTGCTTACTAACCATAAAGGACAGCCCCAATAAATGCGTCTCCAGCACCTGTGGTATCAACAAGTTCAGAGTGTGGAATCCTTTCGGCTGTGCCTAAAAGTAACCTGCCACTCACGGTCCCTATCCCTTTTGCGTGCAATTTCAAATCTCCCTGCAGGATAAAATAGCACGTGGACAAAACAAAATGGAAGCAAAATGGAAATTGATAGATGAGCTATGTAACGCTATTTTGGTAAATTCAATCCTAATGTGTCATACATATGTTTAACGTTCTCTAGGAAAATTTTTCATTAGAATTATAAGAAAACTAATCAGATGTATATGCATACAAGATAATACAGTGTGATGTAATTCCATATCGCAAGTTGCTACGAAGCACAGAATGTTGAGTAGTTCAATCAATAAAAGATACTACATAAATTGTATATCATAAGCTTATTAATGCATGCCCATTTGCAGTAATTATTATTTATCAACTTCAAGTTCCTTCTTTTTTAGGATTTACCCAAAACAAAATACAGATTAATGATCACTAAAATCAAGATGTGAAAATATCTTCTTTAAGTAAGATTTACAAAAGGAAAAATACCGATGGTATGCACATAGGCGAGACTGTATTGCCATCCTTCTTATGCTTAAGCGACTCCAATAAAACATCCACGTCCACTTCCTGGGAAGAAATATTTTCTGGAACAAAAAAAAGTGAAATAATATTATACAATATATAAATATATGGATATCCACTTCTCTTTGGCATCTAATTATTCAACAGACAACCAACAATTGACACAAATAAACGCAATTTAAATTTACATACCACTCGACCTCTGCAACATCACACAACCATCTTCACCTAAAGTGACAATCACAAATTCAACATTGGGCAACTTTAGAAGCATGGAAACTAGTGCGCTCGGCACTGATGGTGCGCCTGTCCATGCCTATAAGACATATAACAGATAAAAGTTAACTTAAAAGATAGAAAAGTAAAACTGAAAAGTACATAGTTCAAAAATAAAGCCATGAACATTGACCTTATTATACATTTTTAGCATATCATAGTCCAACAATAAGTCTGATAACATTTTTCTACAAAATCAGTGTTTCTTCCCAAGAAATGAATAAATGCTAACGTTCAAACTAATCTAACATTATACACCTGAATCAAATTCAACCGGGCGTTGAACCTGACCATGATCCCGTCAAGAGTGTTGTTGACTCAAAAGGAGAAAGCATAAGCTCATAAAAATGAAGTATGAATTGTTTTCTTTTTTTTTTTTTCAAGAATTCCGTATGATTATTTTAAAGAGAAAAAACACTCAAAAAATAAGAAGAAGCAATTAAACATGCCTGTGGAAATTTCGCCGAGCATACAACAAACTTTGAGTAGCTCAACAGACCATCCAGACCTTCTCTCTTTCTTTCTGCATCAATTAGAATGGGAATACCTTTGCGAGATGCCTGCTCTGGAAAGACAAGACAAACTGTTGTTTACTTAAACAAGACAACTTAAAAGAAAACATGAACAAAGCAAGTAACAATACCTCCTCGGCAATAACTAATGCTGTCTCATGCAGCCTCCCATCAAAATACACTAGCCTTGCTCCATCCAAAGCTGCTAGCAATTTCGATTTGGTTAGCTCATCCGGTGTCAAAGGAGGATATCCTGGAGTGTGAATACATGTTCTAGTTTTCCTGAAAGAACACGAAAGGATATTAGTATTATTGTGTTTCTATGCATTTCAGTTTGGATAAAATAAATAGTAAATATTACAACAGAAATATCATTAATTTCTATATAAACTAATAATTTAAACAGATTTATATGCATATCAACAAACACACATTTAAAAGACCAATCAGTAGCCACTTCAAACCATTTGACTCAATTACTTGAGGGACATTATCATCAATTATATCTTTATACGTATAGAGGAGGCGCAACAAGACTAAATGAACTCGAAATTTTTGGGCCTTTTCACATTTGACGAAAAAGGAAGGGAAAACTAAGTCTTTAGATCGTTCATACTTAGGGCCACTATTGGCCACAGTCACAGAACAGAATGCTGATGGAAGTCCCCAAAGGAGGAGACTGTGACTTCCTATCAGACCATGTGTAGCATTTCAGGTTTACAAATGTAAATTAAAGGCAGCCAGATAAGTCAATGTCAGAAAGGGGCCAACGAAATTTAGAAGAAAAAATGTCAAAATGTATAAATACTCACGTTTGATCATCAACAATGATATAGGTGAATGGTGAATTGCCTCCTTTAGAAACCTAGGGACAAAAGGATGCATAGCAAACACATTAATACCAAAATAAATGACCTCATATGAAAAGAAAAATGTTCACAACTTCAGCTGTTGAAAGTACAAATTGCAAATTTACGCCTAATAAAAAATTGAGATACCACGACGAATGATGAATCAATGCCATCAGCCTCCAGCTCATCCAATATTCCTTTGCCTTGAGGATCATCAGCAACCTAGTTAAAAAGGCAGAATACAAAATACCCAGTAAAACTTTTTTAAGTTCCCAATTCCTATTTGGATAAGCGAATTGAAAAAAATAAAAGATAAAAAAATAAAATAATAAACCTTGCTTATAAGCCTAGGTGTCAGACCCAAACGAGCGGCACAAGTCAATGCATTCCCTACATTTCCACCTCCTTGAAGCTGAACACAGAACACATGCATCCACAATTGTCAACAATTATAATGGGTTTGCATAACAGATGAACAGCAAGATGAGTGAAAATAACACAAGAAATCCTTATCTTAGTTTGTAAGAACACTTTTCACAATTTATGATCACAGTTTAGAATACAAAGAAAACATTACTATTTCCGAAAATCGCATTCGCATTCGTATTAATCAGCAGCGACTCTCCTCAACTACTACAACTAAACCAGAAATTACATACACAGATGAAACCTATGGTAATTTCTAACCCAAAACACTAAAACAACGAAAATGAAATTAACAATACCAAAAACTAGGTTACTAATGTAAATTGAATTACCTTGGCACTGGTGGTCCTGATCTTGTCATCAGGGTTAGGATAAGAAGCTACTGCAGCCAGAAAATCTACAGTTATTGTTCCACAACCCAGCTACACAAACACAAAATCAAGCACAAATCCACTTCATAATTCAAGAAAGCGAAAAAAAAAAAAAANAAGGAAATAAAAAACTTAAAAAAAAAAAAATTACAACGACGCGATTATCCGACAGAGGAGGCTGCGCGGCCGCCGACATCTTAAACCTGCGGGGGTGGAAAAAATACTTCAAATTGAGCTGACAGAAGTAGATCTATCATGTTTAAGGTTATGTTTGAGAAAATACCTATTCGAAGAAGACGTATTGTGGAAGGGGCACGAGAAGGAGAATGCGGGTTTGAATAAAGAAGCTGAATGCGGGTGGCCAGACATTGTAGCTGTCGCCATTAGAGCATCAACTCAGCACAGCAATCGAGATAAGGGAAATAGATTAAAAAGAAAAATTGAAGGACATTGTACATGCTCTTAAATTAAATGAGTCTAGCTTGATTAAAGATCTGTTAAATTGAAGGACATTGTACATGGTGTAAAATAAAATTGAAGCACATCTTTGCAATCGAGTTCAAGGCCTTAACAATCCGAGCTCGAACTCATTTAAAGTTCGATTAGTTAACGAGTCGAACTCAGCTCGGCTCGATAAGACTAATTAAGACTCAAAAATAGAATTTTTATATAATATTAGTAGTCACTCGTGCGATGCACGGGGATATTATTATCTATAATGTTTTTAAAAAACAATTTTGTATATAAATTGTGTTATGCAGGCAATGATCATGATCATAATAATAAACATATAAACATATTATTAAATTGAAAAAATCATATATTATTGAACACTTCCCTATATACAACATTATTGGTTTGATTCTTTGGCACGTCATCTTCGCCACAAATTAAGATTTTCAAACCTTTTCGGTTAGTGACACGGGAAACAACAACATATAACTGACCATGACTGAACACTGGTTTCTTAAGAAATAAGCCAACATGAGATAAAGATTGTCTCTGTCTCTTGTTTATAGTCATGGCGTAAGAAACCATAACGGGAAACTGTCGCCGCTGGAACTTGAAAAGAATTCTAACATCAGAAGGAGTTATTGTCATTCTTGGAATCAACATCTTATCACCAGGATGATCTCCTGTGAGTATCTTATACTCAAGGACGTGAGTCGATAGCTTTGTCACTACCAATCGTGTCCCATTACACAAACCCATTGAATGATCCATGTTCCGCAACAACATGACTGGAGTTCCAATCTTCAAATACAACTCATGGTTCGGTATTCCGGAACACTTGATACTATTAAAAAACTCAGACTTATACAAAAAATTAAATAAGTGAAAATGCAGTTACCAAATAGCATTGATTCGTCGATTTTCTCGATATCAATCAATGTGTTGAACCTTCGAAAGTCAAAACGGAAAATTGGAAAGTCACCCTTGTAGCTTATGTGTTCGGTTCTACCATGTAGTATAAGCCTGTATTGTGCAATGGTGGATCTATACATTCCGATATTACTCTCAACTTGATAGTTTCGAAATGCATAGACAACACCTTCTTCGAATTCATTGATGAAAGTTGGGATGTTGATTGCTCTTACTATTCCAGTAATTCGACCTCCCTGAAAAAAAAAAAAGAAAAATACTATTAGATATTAGATATTATAATTAACATGATGAGAAAAATGGATAAGCATTATTTTTTATTATGAATTAAACCTCAATGTCATGAAAGACAATTTCAAGGATGTTCTTGTAGAATGAGTATTGATTAGTCCTTTGGAAAACTCGAACCACCCTCAACTTGAGCATTGGTCTGTTGGTCCTTGTTACTTGCTTGATGTTTCCCCATGCTCTCACCATTTTTCTGTTTGTATATGAAATTGTAGTGTGAGATTTTTCTCATACGTGATATAGGCTCTGACGTTTATTTTATAGCCATGGAATGAAAGTAGATAACTATTAGATGATAAAATTAGTTGGACTCACGTTAATCTCTCTTGATAAGATTCTTTGCACGTGATTTTAATTTCAGAGTTCCAATAAATTCAAACTCTAATATCATGATAAGATTAGTAAAACGTGATTTATCAGATTGTTAACTCTCGTGATTTATCCACCGTAGGACTCGCTATTTGTTATGTTTTTTAAATGAATGACATTGAATTCAAATGGAATATATTTCGGTCAATCCAAACACAAATGATTATCACGTTGGTATGGACCGAAATTTTTATGATGATAAGATAAGTGGAAAGTAGTTAAGAAGTGGAGATTTTTGTGTGATAGCATCATTACATAATTACCATCACCATCAATCTTTCCATTAAAATTCGGTCCATACCAACGTGATACAAAAAAAATTCTTGAATTTTTTTTTAAGTCAAACAAATAATATAATCTTTTACGTCAAAAATTTTGTACGTCAAAATTTTAATTCAAACAAATCTTTCCATCTTTTTACGTCAAGATTTTAATAATAATAATATATATATAACACAAATTAAAAAAAATGTTATAATGAAAATCCATATTTATGAATATAATCCATTATGATAAATTATTGAAAAATCACGCAATATAATCCATTAAATGTACTTGATTTAGTTATTGTTAATTCTGTAATTTTTTTTGTTTAAATAAAAACAACAGCAATTTTGAATTCAAATGGAATTCAAAGAGTGATACGCGGTCAATAAAAATCTAAACCAATTTTAAATACTGTATATTAATTTTCAACCTTATCATGTATGATGATAAGATAAGTGCAAAGTAGTTAAGAAGTGGAGATTTTTGTGTGATAGCATCGTTACATAATTACCATCTTTCCATTATATTTCGGTCCATACCAATGTGATACAAAAAAAATTGTTGAAAAATTTTTTACGTCAAACAAATATTATAATCTTTTACGTCAAAAATTGTTTACGTCAAATTTTACGTCAAACAAATATTTTCATCTTTTTACGTCAAAATTTTAAAAATAATAATTTATATATAACACAAATTAATATAAATATTATAATAAAAATTCATATTCATATTTATTAATATAATCCATTATGATAAATTATTGAAAAATCAGGCAATATAATACATTAAATGTACTTAATTCAGTTATTGTTAATTCCGTAATTTTTCTTTTTATATAATCTTATATTTGAAATATTTGTTAAGATTTGTATTAATTTATATCTTATATCATGACATTCTACCAATTTTAAACTAATATACAGTAGAAGTCAAAAATAAAATGACACGGGAAATTTACACATTCATACGACATTTAACAAAAAAAAAATATCCAACGACCTTTTATAAGGATAACAAATATAATAACACTAAAATTTATTATAGAATTCGGAATTCAACGACATGGAATGAAATTAAAATTCATAATAATCAAACTCTAAATATCATAAATATCTCCTGCTCCTTGTTAATGTAGAGGGAAAATATCAACATTTTGAAGGAAAATCTCACCATATTTGATAACATGAGTTCTTCCATGAAGCACAAGTTTCCATATGTTGATTATGATCCCATGATTAAATTCAACGACATAGTTGTTGATCGCGTACACCTCGCCTTCGTTCAGTACACCTCGAAATGCTCCCATATGTTTGGAACGTATTATCCCTTTAATGAATGTACCCTACAATATAAATTTATAAATATGAATTAAAATATTTTTTAAAATTACAGAAATTTGATATTACAAATAAAAATATTTACCTGTTCATCATGAAACAATATATGGAATGCGTTCTAGCTCTCCCGTTGGTGATGCGTTTCAACTATTTGGACTGCTTTCAAGTGCAAAAAAAGTTTGTTTCTCCTACTCACGGAATCGAGTGTATCTCAGACCGGCGGCATTTATTATCAATGTGTTCTGAAATTTATCTCTTTTTTTTTCTCTGTACAATTTATCTCGGTTTTTTTTTTCTATGCTGTGAATGACGTGAACTTTTTTTTTTTTTTTTCTAAACTGTGAATGACGTGAATTGTTGAGTAGTGGTAGTGCATATGATTTTATACCAAACAACCGTTTTTGAACTCAATATTCGCATAATTATGTAATGATAATTATGGATCCAATTGTGACTAATCCACATATCCCTATAATATCTCTAACCAATTAATTTTTGAATTAATCATGTAATGATAATTATGGATCCAATTATGACTTATCCACAATTCCAATAATATCTCTAATAAACAAATTTTTGAATTGAAGTATGACTTTTTTAAAATTTCGTGTATTATAAATGCAGTAAATATGGTTTCTATATTTAGATTGTCAAAGTTTTTTTTTTGGTCAAAAGTTTCTAAAAAGGTATTTTAACAACAACCTTTTTATATATATATAGATATAGATATAGATTTCATAGTTCGACTCATTAAAGCTTGAACTCGAGACCTTAACGAGTCGAGTTTGAGCTCGATTTTTGATTTGTTTATTTAACGAGCCGAACTTGGCTCGGCTCGTTAAGAGTTCAAGCTCGTTTACAACTCTAATTGTATATCAATAAAATTATTTATTTTGTTGAATAAATTTAAATATTGATTTTATAGTTGTATTAAATTTTATTTTGTACTAATATATTTCATGTAGAGTAAAATCTAGTGCGATCAACTGAAAACGAACGTTAAAATTTAACATTTTTTACTCACTAGAGTAGAGTAAATGATTGAAGATTGTCTAATAAGTTATAATAATAACTTTGTTGATTGTCGGTTGTTATTAAATTATATTAGTTTAGGCCGACTACAGTAAAATCTCGTTAAATTAATACTCGATAAATTAATAACCTCGCTAAAACTAATAATTTGTCCGGTCCCAAGTTAAGACCAGTAAAAATTTGGGATCCAATCAATAAAATTATAAGATAATAATTTTTTTGAGATCCCAGTGTATATATATTGGTCCCGACGAAACTATAAATTAATAATTATTAAAAATAATCCACATATATATACGATGCACTTGAAGATTCTTAAGACTAACTTAGTAAAATGAGAATCTACTGTAACTTGTTTTTTCTTGAACTTCAAATCATTGATCTCATATTTTTGTATTTTCCAAAACTAATTAAATTAAACAAGTAATTCCAAATTCCACGAGAGTTTGTGTTTATGGAATTCTATTAGTACATTTGTATGTTAACTTAATTTTCATCAATAACGATGCATGTATACTTAAAGTTATTCAAAGAATTTGGAACTTTGAAGGTCAACTGTGCATATACGTTATAACCTCTCTAAATTAATAAATTATTAATTTATCGATATAATGATATCTCTATAAATTAATAAAATCTTCCGGTCCCAACATTATTAATATATAGAGGTTTTACTGTATTATTTTTCAAAATATCTTGTAATCATCTATCATCATACAATGACATATTTAAATAGTCAACGTAAATAGAGAATATGATATTTGATAATATAACTATATGCATTTTTTTTCAAATATAACGAAAAGTTATTTTTACTTTTTATTTTAAT